GACATTGTTCTGAGCACTGGATTCATCACCATATTCTTAATAAACCTGTTAAACTTTTCCGGGGTCTCTCTGTTTGGTCTTCTGCATTTTGGGTCAGACCTTCAATTAAATCATGACATACACATTAAAATCTAACTAACCATAAATATAAATATCAGTGTCCTTTGATTCTTTTGTGTTCTCAACAATAGGAAAGTATTCAATAAATATGTTTATTAGCTCATTTTTGGAAAATACAAACCCTATAGAAAGCGTTTGTCTGGAGTAACTGTAGGTCCATCAGCCCCCACCCTTAGAGCGCCTAAACCAACTTTCATCACCTTTGGTTTTACCTCTCTAGATTAGGACCCTTTTTTCTATGGCAGAGTTCTCCATGTAGTTTTAATTTCTGCCACTAGATGGCTGCTTTAATGCATAGAATTCAGTATATTGTTGTTTGGAGAGAGATCGGCGTAACACAGATATCATTTATCATCATCATATATTTAATCTAGCGTGTTAACTGTGCGCAGTTTTTTTTGTAATTTTCCGAAGCTAATTGTTAGACATTTAGCATTAAATGAGTAAACTTTGTTGACTTTATTGGTCTATTAGTGTTTGTGACACTCATCCTTCATTTAACTTGACTTACTTGTGCTGTATATCTTTTCATGACACTATTGGAAGCTTTTTTTGTGTTTGTATGTATAGATTACTTTCAATAGGTAATTTGAATTAACTCTTAGATTGTGGTATACTTTGATCACATGGTTACTCCCCCTTGTGGATGAATTTAGTTATCTTTCTGAAAGAACTAATAATAGATTAATAATAGAATTTGTTTATTGGTTTGTTCTTCTTGCAGAAACCACACAAACCCCTAGATCTGCATTTTCATGCTGTTACATGTATTAAGGTAAAATGATGATTAAAGGTAGAGTGGAGGATGTTCTTTTTCCAGGTGGAGGATTTTTGCAAATTTTTGAAAAGACCTTTCCTCTCCACTTTAGAAAAAATGCACATACAGAACCCTGTACCCGCTTTGGGCCCCACCTTGGGGGTGCAAAAATCTTCCCCCATAGACTTTGGTTAAAAGTTGTCCATGTGCAGCAGCTCCTCTTCAATACTAAAGATAGGAACATCCTGGGGAGCAGCTCTCCTGCACCCAGAGCTGAAAGCAGCTCTGCTTGCACACCACCCCCCTCCACAGCGCTGACGTCATTGACAGGTTTATAGAATTATTTAGCTACAAAGCTAGGCTAACTGCATGCAGCGCAGCTAATGCTTTATTCTGCTTTCCCTGCCTCCTTTTTAAACATTAGGATCTGACCCAGCATGAAGTAAGACAGCTAGGACTGATTTAAAGCACTCCTCATAAAGTTTTATAATGTTGTTTTTTTTGTTGTTGGCATTCTTATAAATATATTGGTGCGATACCTTAGCATACATTTGATTGGTTGATATACGTCTATTTAGAAGTGGAGAAAACCCCACCAGCCACCACTGATGGTTGTCCTGATCTGACACCCTTCAGTGATTGTTAAATGTTCTGTAAGTCAGTTATAGTCCTCGTTAGACTGCCTCTTGTTCTTCCCCTGCACAGTCTGATGAAGATGTTCCCAGGATCAAAGAGTTCTCCAGTTGGAAGAAAAATACTGTTTGCTAATCACCAAATCCTGGCTGAAGTCCTTAAACTACTTTTAACTAAAAAAATTAAACTGAAGTGAAATCAGATGTCAGAACATACAAAGCTGGAAATGTTACCAGAGGTCTTTAGCCGTTCAGATTCCCGCTTCAGTCTCATCACGTCTTCGTCGAGTCCATCAGAGAAGATGATCAGAACCTGATGGGAAAAGATGATCTCATCAGATTCTTTCATGGGTTTGTTGTTGAGAAGCATCACCAGACTGTAAACCTAAATAAACTGAAAGAGTAAGAAAACTTTGATTTAAATACCACCTAGGTTCTACTTTTAAAACAGAGTTTTTTTCTGTCAAAGTTAAGAAGAAGAAAATGTAAGTCTAACCAATGAAAAAATGCAAACCAGGAACTACTCAGATCCTGCTCAGCAGCATCTCCAGCTAGTGCGCTACCACCATGGTCATTCAGTACGTTTTTGTTATGTTATGTTGGGTTGGTACCAGATCCTGCTGGAAGATGAAATCAGCGTCTTCATACAGTTTTTCAGTAAAACCAGGAGGTGTTGTGAAATGTTATGGTAGAGGCCTGCATCAGAGGAGGAATAATGGTGCGTTCAGACCGGGTGAGTTTTGGCCGTCAAGGCATTTTACATTCAGAGTCTATGGGGGACAGCGTCCGAGGGTCGGGAGCGGTGCAACCAGGTGGGGTATTTTTTGGCATCATAGCATCCAATGTTCAATGCTGGAGTTAGGTTTATTCAATGATGATTATAAAATTAATGTGTGTGTGCTTCTAAACATTGAAGCGAGGAGATGCTTCACTCTGTCTTATGATTCAGTTAAGAGGAGAGCATCCTGTCTTATGACCTGATCAATCGTCCTTTCAGAACAATACTCTGTTTGTAACCATGTGTTCTGTTCTGTTAATAAAAGACGAATGCAGGAGGGGGGTCGTTGAAAGAGTTGAAACTTGGGTTGGACTTTTTCCAC